TTGTATCTCATTGTTTCTAGTGGAAATTGCTGCCATTTCGTATTGACGATTAGCAGCTACTTTGAGATCACTTTTGGAGGCAAGGCCCTTGAGGCTATTTGCACAAGTATTTCCAAATACTTTTTCGCTGCGCCAGAGGCGATAGTCGCCTAGAGGTAATTGGGTACCCAGATTTTTGTTGATCCTTTCCGGTACGCGATGTCACTGTCCCACTGTAGCAGATGTCGCTTTTCTGCCAAGGGAATTTCGGGGTCGATGGTGTACCCGTGGGTGAAGAGTCATTTGAGGAGTGGATTCATCCCTTCGACCTGAATCGCGGCAACGTGTGCAGGCCGGCTGAGAGCGTCTGCTTTGTTCTTGTGGCCGGGCTTGTACACGATGTCGTAGTGGAAGTGTGTCTCGAGGAAGTCGATCCACCGGACCTGCCGCCTGGAAAGGTTGGGTTGTGTCTTCAAATATTTCAGGCTGCAGTGGTCGGTGTAGACGGTCGTTCTTCGTCCTTCGAGATAGCATCTCCACGCTTTGAAGGCGATGATGATAGCAAGAGCCTCTTTGTCGTGTATCGGGTAGTTGAGTTCTGCCCCGTGCAGTTTCTTGCTGAGGTAGGCAATTGGTTGCAGTCCATTCCCCTGGTCTTGCATTAAGACTGCACCCACGGCCTGATCACTGGCGTCTGCTTCAATGACGTAGTCACGTTCGGGATCTGGCAAGATGAGTACCGGTGCGGATGTCAGTGCTTGTTTCAGTTGCTCCACGGCTTCCTGGTGCTTCGTCTCCCATTTGTAGGGCGTGTTCTTCTTCAGCAGATTCGTGAGTGGTGCCGCGAGTTTCGCATACTGTGGCACGAACCTGTTGTAGTAATTAGCGAAGCCTAGGAACTGCTGCAACTCCTTCACGTTCTCGGGTGTCTTCCACGTACGTACGGCTTCGACTTTCTTGGGGTCGACGTGAACTCCTTGAGCGCTCACCATGTGTCCTAGGAATTGGACCTTTTCAAGGGCGAATTCGCTCTTGGACAGTTTGACGTAGAATCGTTCCCGTCGAAGAATTTCGAAGACGCGTCGCAGGTGTTCGACGTGCTGCTTCATGTCGCGCGAGTAGATGAGTATGTCATCCAGGTACACCACCACGCATTCGTCCAGAAGTGGTCGTAGAATGTGGTTCATTTCGGCTTGGAACGTTGCCGGCGCGTTGGTGAGTCCGAATGGCATGACCAAATACTCGTACGATCCGTACCGAGTTCGGAAAGCAGTTTTGTGGATAGAGTTGTCCGCCATCCGTATCTGCCAGTATCCGGACCGCAGATCCAGTTTGGAAAATACCGTAGCTCCCCGAAGCTGGTCAAGCAAGTCATCGATTCGCAGTATCGGATATTTATTCTTGATGGTCTGCTTGTTAAGAGCTCGGTAGTCGATGCACATGCGCAGGCTTCCGTCCGGTTTCGGTGTGAAGAGTACTGGGGCACCGTACGGCGAAGTGGATGGCCGGATGAGTCCTTTGGCTAGGAGATACTCGATCTGTTTTTTCATGTCAGTCAGCTCCGTAGGGCTGAGCCGATATGGTGCTCGGAAGGTCGGTTTCGAACCCGGTTCCTCCACAATCTCGTGTTGATGCTTTCGGTACGGCGGTAGCTCGTTCGGAAGATCGTCAGGAAGAATGTCTTGGAACTCCTTCAGTAATTCCTTGATTTTTTCTGGAGTTTCCGAGGCTTTTTCTCCGTCATTCTCCACCTCTGTTGCTATCCCCAGGAACCCGGTGTCGGTCTGCTTCACGTCCTTCTCGAATCGTGCGAGTGTCTCCACTGGGATATCTCCAGTATCGTCAAGTCAAGCCCTTTGATGTTGGTGATGGGGAGTGCAGGTCTCCAGCGCAGTGGTCCAATTTGTAGATGTAGCACTGCTTCGCCGTGTACTGGTAACTTGCTGCCGTCCACCATCGTTGCAGAGAATCCTGAAGGCTTGTACTCTTCCCGGAGTCGGTCGATCATTGCCTTGTCGCAGACGGTGTGTGACGCTCCGCTGTCCACGAGTGCTTGGAGGCGTCGTCCTTTGCAGATGACCTCGAGCACGAGGGGCAGTCGTTGCTCGGAGTACCCAAAGATAGTTTCATTGATTGGGTCATAGGGTACATCCCAATATTCCGTACACACCTTTGTGTTGCTGTCTACTCCTGAGCTGGCAGCTGGCCGAGGCTGCTTGGAGAACGGCTCTTCTCCAGGGCCCGGAGTTTCTTTGACGACTGTGCGCGTCACTGATGCCGAAGAACTGGATGCATCCGTAGAAGGGGTTCGGGGTTTGTGCAGCTTCTTGTAGACCCCCAGCTTCCTCTTGAGCTGCTTCAGCTCCACCGACGTCTTCCCTGGGGAGCGGGTAGTCGTTGTGGGCTGGTGTCGGGAGAGGACGTTGACTCCGTGGAAAGGTCGGCTTCTTTCCACACTCCTTAATTTGGTCCCCAAGTTGTCCGGTACCGGTATAATCTCCACAGCTGTCTGCTTCTTTTGGAGTCCCTCCCGAAATTTCTCCAAGGCTCTAGCCCCTCGAACATCATAAGTTTTCATTAAAGCATCTTTATAAGATAACTTTAACGAATTCTTATAATTTCTTGGGTCTTCAAGGAGTTTCCCTGTCTCGGCAGAGTCTTTTTTCGCGGAGTCGTACTTTTTCTCGGCGATTTTCCCTGGCGAAGACTGGTCGTGGGGTGGAGATTTTCCCCCATCATTTCCTCCTTCTCGCGTCGAATCCGCTTCGTCGAAGTCGATTTTTCCGGAATCCCGCGGCCGTTTTCGGATCTTTTTATTTTCGCCAGCTAGATCCGCAATCACTGGCGACTCCCGTTTTTTGTCTTCTGATTGGCCGAAAGATTTCCGCCACTGTTGCGTGCCCGATACTCTGCGCGTGCGGTCTTCATTTTGTTACAGTCGAAGATTCGATGACCCGGCACCCCGCAAAAATCACACGTGTAGTTGGTGTTTTTCGGACGTGGCCGCCCCTCGAATCTGTCGACTTCCATCGGGTCGGCGAACGTGGGGTGAGCCGAGCGGTCGCCCTGTCGCGTACTGCCGACGTGCGTCCGTCGTGTTCCAGCGTTGACCATGTCGAAGCGCTCCGCTGCCGAAACGACGTCACTGTAGCTCGCGTAGTTTGACGCTGCGACTTGTCGTTTGACTTCGGTCTTCAGCCCTGCGAGGTACGATTGCACTTTTTCCCCTTCGGTCAGGTCGGGAATTCGGTTATAAAATTCTTCCATCTGCTGCGTGTACTGTGCTACACTCCCGAACTGTCGATGGCGATGAATTTTTTCGCGGGCAAGGAAACTCGAATTTATCGGTTCGAAGCGTTTCAGCAGGTCAGCGCGGAACTGCTGCCACGTGGCTTCACCGTGGATGAAAGTACTGTTGCCGCCAATCCACTCGAGTGCCGGCCCTCGCATCAGTGTCGCCGCGAGTCGTACACGTTGACCGTCCCAGACTGGCGAGCTCCATCCGACGGCTGCGAAGTAGATCTCCATCCCGGCGATCCATCTGCGGGCGTCGGAGTTTCGATCGCTCGGATCGAACGGCTCAGGTGGGCGCGGTTTCGGAGCCTCGAGAAACTGTTGCGACTGCTGCGTCGTCGCCGTTGTCGTCTCGTGCTGCGCTCCGGCGAGTCGAGTTACTCGCTCGAACTGGTTTCGCCACGCTTCGCGATCCGCTCGCATTTCCTCCTGAAGGGCTGCGATGCGCGCGAAGAGCTGCTGGGTAACCTCGGCGTTGTCGAAGGTTGCCATCCTGTTCAAAACACGCACGGAGGGGGTAATTCGAAAATCGCGGAGCTGGTGCTTACCAGAATCGGCGTCGAATTGGTCGCCCCCGGCGGTTTTTCGAGGCAGGATCCCCGCTGCTGCTGCTTAGCTGAGCGCGGCCGAGTGAGAAAAGCTCTGATTACCAAGTGTCACAGGATCGAATGTGTCGAGGAAAGGTTGTACTATCGATGAGTACAAGGCGCTTTTATATTTCCAGAGTACATCAGGTAACCAGGTTTATCTTATCCTAAGGGAATAGACCCTTCTAGAAGATAGAATCACCCTGCGTATAGCCACGCGAGGCTATTGGCTTTAAGGGATTACAGCAGGATTACGCTAGATAGAGCGCACCAATACATCCCAAGCCTGGTCGGTGATATAATGATAATAGCAGGATAAACCAAAGGTTAATGGAAAAGGAAGAATAGGAAACCAAATGAGATGCGGTAAAACGAGAAATGAAAAGGGAAGGAAATAAGAAAAGGCCAAGTGGTGTAACGGGGTCGTACTCTCACATCTGTGGAATCTCCAAGCGCGCCAAGCTTGAGCACCTTGAGCAATGAAGGGGAGTGTTACGATAAGGGATTTGTTACATTCCTGAAAGTGACACCCGAGCCGTAACCCTTGTCGAGTCCAAGCTTATGACACAATACACGAAGTGGAACGGTCGTTGACCGTTGACCGACAGTTGAACCAACAGAAGTCTGAGGGACCATAACTGACCCTGTAATATAGCGCAGACAGTTACCCGAGTCACTAAGGGAATGTACCATTGTCAAGGGCATCTTAGTTAGACCCTTCACATTCCCTTATATCCCTTTGCTATAATCAATACTGCTATGTTACATTCACTCTGACAGGGTTCATCGACCAACCAATCGCTTCCGCAAAGCGCACTACTACAGTTCAATCATGAAGATCCTACTGACTGTATTGGATAGCTTCACAATATAGACCGAACCGTCGAGTTCGAGGTCTTCAGGTGTACGCGCTGTAGTTTAGCGCATTAAGGAATTGTAATTCCTTATAAATTGGACAATCAAGTTCAAGAACCAAATTCTACAGTATTCCTATATTAATGTACATTTCTCTATAAACATCACTGTACTCTTAGTAGCCTCGTCGTCTCTTCGCCCTTGTTCGCTTCCCCTATTCGCCAACCTCTCATCCCCTTTCTTTGCAATCCAGATCTCTGCTGTGTTTCTGCTTCTCCCAAGTCTGAGTACACGTACCTTGCTTGAAAACTCGGTCACGGTTTTTGTTTTCCCCTGTTACTGTTATTGTTGCTGCTTTCCATCGCCATGGCCGACGAACAGGAAGTCAAGCTCGAGAGCGAGTACCCTAACGAGCAGGATGCCGGTGTTGCGAACGAGGAAGCAAAGCAGGATTACGATCAGGAACGGAATAAGGAGGAACAAGGTCAGGACTACCGTAATGGAGGTTCCGATAAACCCGTAGAAGATCAGGGTCGCGACGAGCCTCCATCGGCTGACAGATCGACCAGTCCAGGGTTAGTTGAGATTTCCTTAGCTCAGGTCTGTTCCTTTCAGGGTCTTTGTAGCAAATGTTCACCTGTAGCTAACTTCAGCTTACTCGTTCGTACGTGATAGAGGGAAATTATTCATTGGAGGTCTATCATGGGAGACGACGACAGGTACGATACAGTTTCGCTATTTCGCTAGTTCTTCATTATTATTTCTTATATCGAGGAAGCACGTGTTCGAGAGAGCTAGACGTTGTTTTTATCGTTCCTGGCTCGCGTCTGCAGAGATATTGACGAATCATTTCGCGAAGTATGGAAAGATTATAGACTCAGTTATCATGAAGGACCGAAACACCGGCCAGCCGAGAGGCTTTGGCTTCGTAACTTACGAAGACCCTGCTGTATGCGACATTGTCGTGCAAGAGAAGCACGTCTTGAACGGCCGAACGGTGAGTCGCTGCTTGACATTCCCCCCGCTCTTATTCTACTCTTTAGAATGTTGGATGCTGAGTATTATTTGTACTTTCTGTCAATTTCAGATTGAGGCGAAAAAGTCGGTTCCTCGAGAGAATATCGGCGGGCCCAGCAGCAGAGGTCCGAAAACGAAGAAGATCTTCGTGGGTGGTTTGTCTGCATCCGTAACGGAAGGTAACCGCTCGTAACGAATCTGTGTGATGTGTTTTCAAGACGAAAATTTAGCACCTGACTTCGTGTGTTCATTTGCCTTATCTTGACCAGAGGACCTCAAGGAGTATTTTTCCGCGTTCGGCGAGGTCACGGATCATCAGATAATGCTGGACCACAACACTGGGAGGTCCCGAGGTTTCGGCTTCGTGTCATTTGAGAGCGAGCAGGCCGTTGACGAGTGCCTGGCGCGAGGTAGAATGCACGAGATTGCCGGAAAGCAGGTCGGTCAAGTCGCCTTTTTAAATATGTTTCGCCTTTCATTACCTACATTGCGTTGACAATGCGTCTGTCATGCCTCCTTTCTTTCTGTCTGCTGCAGGTGGAGGTGAAGAAGGCAGAGCCAAAGCGGTCAGACTATGCCCAGGAGGGCGGATATGGAGGGTCTGACCGCGGGGGTGGTTACGGTTCGCGATACGGGGGGGGTTACGGAGGAGGGGGGTATGGCGGTGGCTATGGTGACAGCTATGGTGGCTACGGAGGGGGCTATCGCGCTGGTGGTGGCTATGGCTCTCGTGGTGGTTATGGAGGTGGGGGTGGTTATGGCGCTGGTGGTGGCGGTGGTGGATATGGTGGCGGTTATGGTGCCGGTGGTGGTGGTGGTGGTTACGGTGGTGGTTATGGTGCTGCTGGTGGTGGTTATGGGGGTGGAAGCATGGGCGGGTATGGTGCCGGGAGCTATGGAGGTGGCCTTGGGTCTTATGGTGGTGCAGTTGGTGGTGGGGCGTATGGTGCGTATGATATTGGAGATGGGTACGGTGCAGGGGGAGGTGGAGCGTATGGCAGCTATGGGGGAGCAAGTGGGGGCTATGGTGGTGGGGGTAGCTATGGTGGTGGTGGCAGCTATGCTGGTGGCTCTGTGGGGGGTGGGAGTGGGTATGGTGGATATGCCAGTCGTGGGGGTGGTAGTGGGGGTGCGGGAGGGGGTGGGGGTGGGAGTTACAGTGGATCTGGAGGCACTGGCCGATACCACCCATACGGCAGATGAGCCACCAATGTTGGGCCCACACTCGTGGCCCATTAGGATAGCCACGCCCGGCTCCACAGTTCTGTCATATGCTTAGACTTACCTCCTCTATGCATGCTTCGTGGAGTTTTTGTGGAGCCGAAGGCAACATTTGGATTGAATGTACCCTTGAGCGTGGGTGTTGATTTTAGCATCATTCCATCAGCGTTATACTGTATGCGATATCAGTCTGAACGGCTGAAACGAGGAATTGATGTGCTCAAACTGAACGGTTTTGCACGAGCAATGATAGGCGGACTTGGTTCCACATGAACGCCAATCACAAGACACGAGCCCTAGGCTCGGGTGAAACCCTCTCCAGTTTTCTTCGTGCTGCCTTCTCGGATGATCGTGTCAGGCAACGGCGATTCCTGCATCGTGTCATCCACGAGTGTCGTCCAACATTTGCCCGTGGAAGACCCCGGGTTCTCCTCGGAAGACGCCAGGTTGCTTCTCGATCCGGAAGACACTGGTGAATATATGACTCAAGAATGATCCCTGAGTCCTGGACAATTGGGATTCTGGACAAGGGCAGGCAGATGGACGGAGCCGTCAGACCAACAAAAAGGCACGTGTTGCGGTTGTTGGGGCAGGCAAGGGGACCGAGGAAGTGAACCGGGAGCTTTTTGGCTTGTACAACCGTTGAGCAGGCTTTCCGCAAACGCGGTTTCGGAAAGGGGCGCCTGGGGGAATGGGAAATGGGGCAACAATCAGTCCGGCCCGCTCCACTTCCACGACGCAGAGCGTGGCTCAGTGCGGTTGCTTAAATTTACAGAACGTTACGTAGCATCTGGCGTCGGTTCCGGGTTGTTACGAAAAAACATGCAAGGTCAATGCAATCCATTCGCGCCAGGTCCCCAAAAGTTCCCCCCATCCGCCGCCCTCCAAACAGCCCCAGGGCACAGGCGGGAATCCCCTAGCCCCGCTGCCCGCTGAAATTGAGAAACCCCTTTGGGAATTCCGGCGCAGCAGGGCCGCACAACACAAAAGCAGCCTGCCGCTGCCAGCGCCTGCACCTTGTGGTGGGTGGTGCGGCGGCTGACAACCAGCCAAACCCAGCTTTGGACTGCCCAACCGAGCCGAACCCAGGTCTTAGTTTTCCCAACCAAACTCAACCCTGACTGTCGCTCCCCGCGGTCGTTCAGGTGAACTGGAGGGGAGCACCGCTTTGCTGACGTCGAATCCATTCCATTCTATTGCCGCCATAGCTCGCCTGGTTTCAGTTGTGGAATTTCTTGCGCTTTCAAGTGTGCCGGCTCTGTTGGCTCGGGGTCTGTCGTCGGAACCCCCGCGTTAACCTTTAGTCTTTAGAATAGTTTGGAGATTAAGAGTCACAGCGGATTGCTAAAAGCTTCGGCAAAGTGGCTCGGCGGTCGGCACCAAGAATGGCGATGATTGCGTTCCGTAGAGTGGTTTATGAACCCTGACGAATTCGGAAACAGTCAATAGATTCGACTCAAACCGCATTGCTACAACGGCGATGCTGTACTCTCCGCTGGTTCAGAGCACTGATTCTATTCGAAAATAGTCATTACCGACTAAGTAGACATTGCGAGAATGGCGATGCCTTTCTGTAGGGTCGTTCCCGAGCCATGGAGAGCCGCCGATAACGGCGCCAGTATAGGGATTGCTGACCTTACGGTGACGGCGCTTGACGGAAAGTCAGATTCGTTAAAAGACGCCCCGGATTCGTTAATAGACGACCGGGATTCGTTAAAAGTCGACCGGGACTCGTTAAGAGGCGCCACAGGTTCGTTAAAAAACGACCGGCACGAGGGGGCAGCTATCGCCGACGCAACCTGTGGGGTTCCCACGGCAGACGTTACAATGGGAGATTTTGTAACAAGGACGGAACGAGAAATAGGTTCGGGAAGAAAGAACGTTGGAGAGGAAGCGAAGGAGGAAGGAATTAGCGAATTACGAGGTATCCCTTCCGGTAACTTGGAAGAAATCGAATGTAACAGCTCCAGCAGTGATGGTAACAGCAGCGATAGTAACCGTGGTAACGACAGCAGCGACATTCGCGAACATCCCGGTAACTGCAGCACGAGTAGTCGTCGCGAGGACGCTATCGGAAACGATGCTGCAGACCCCGCAATCTATGCCAGTAGCGCTAATAATGACGTCGATGTCGATGTTAAGAGCGAGCGTGCTTCTAGCGAGTGTACTGCTAGCGAGACTCCTGCTAGTAGTGAGCCTGCTGCTAGCGAGTGTTCTGCTAGTGAAGCCGCCGTTCGGCTGATGTCAGCAGCCGCGCTGGTAGAGGCGGGAGTGCAAGACGCGGAGGACGACTCGTGCAGCATCTGCCTCGACGCTTTCACTGAATCCGACCCCGCCACGGTAAGTAGTGAGTTAAAGCAGTTCTGGCAATTCTCTAGTCGATAGTAATCAGGGGTCTGCTAATAGCGAGGCATCCCGGTGGGAATGCAAGACGCAGAGGACGACTCGTGCAGCATCTGCCTCGAAGCGTTTACCGAATCCGAGCCCGCCACTGTAAGTGATGGTATTACAGCGCCAATGGCAGTAGCGACGATGCTGATAGCGAGTCTGCTGTTAGCGAAGCGTTCGTTCGCGTGGTATCAGCGGTGGAGGCGGGAGTGCCGGATGCGGAGGACGGCTCGTGCAGCTTCTGCCTTGACGCTTTCACCGAATCCGACCCTGCCACGGTAAGTACTGAGTTTGTAGTACACTGGTAGTTATACTGACGATGATTATAGCGAGTTTGCTGCTAACGAAGCTGTCGACGGGAGCATCCACCTTCAGAAAATTATCAAATATTTTCGGGGATTATTGATAGTGCGCAGTCATGCGTTTCCGCCCTCCTTGTGAGGCGCCTCGAACCTAGGCAGTAGCCCCGAGATGATAGTGGTGCGCAGAGGCGCATTACCCCCCGATTTTGTTTTCCGCCCTACTCCCGTCCCGCGCCTTGCCTCTCTCTCTTTACATCCGCTTCCGTTTGCCCTGCTGCCACTTTTGGCGTGCTTCCAGCTGACAGTGTGCAACCACGAGTAGCACTTCCAGTGCGTCTTAGAATGGCAGACGAACGTTATTCTTCACCTCATTTTTCAACTCCCGACCTGCTCTCGGCCCCTCTTCCTCCCTCCTTCCCCGGCTGTGACTTGTGGTGTGTGTGTGCTCCCAGCTGACAGTCTGCAACCACGAGTACCACTTTCAGTGCGTCTTAGAATGGTAAGAAGCACGCATCTCTAGGCGGGTCAAAGTGTTCTATCAGATGAGCATGCATCTTTATGCGGGCTAAAGTAGCCTTTTCTCCTTGAGCCCGTTCGGAGCAAGTATTTTTCTCACCCCGTTCGGAGCTGTTCGTGGTTTCATCACCCAGAAGAAGTCTCCTCTCCTCTCCTCTCCTCTCCTCTCCTCTCCTCTCTTCTCCTCTCCTGCTACCAAATCGCACCTTCCATTCATCCCTTCCCCCTCTCCCCCCTCCCCTGCCCACCCCCTTCCCCCCCGTCTCCCTCTCTTCGCCCCGTGCTGCCCAATCCGCAGGGCCCAGCGCAAGGAGGAGTGCCCCATGTGCTGGCGTAAGCTGGCCTTGCAAGATGAAACGTGGTACGTGCAAGATGAAGCGTGGTACGTGCAAGATGAAACGTGGTACGTTGAAGTTGAAACGCGGTACGTGCAAGATGAAACGTGGTATGTGCAAGATGAAACGTGGTACGCGCAAGATGAAACGTGATACGTTCAAGTTGAAAGTTGGCACGTTCAATTTGAAAGGTGGTACGTTCAAGTTAAATCTTAGTATTTTCGAGGTGAAACGTGGTACGTTCCAGCTGAAACTTGGTAAGTTCAACTTGAATCTTCGTACGTACAAGATGAAGCCCAGTACGCAGAGGCGCGGGAGACGACAGCAGCAGCAAATCCCAGTCCCCCCTGTCCTCTTCCCTTGTCGACGCCCTTCGCTTTGCCAGCCAGGAGCTGCTGCTCGCGTGCTACAGAAGTGTGATTGCTGCAGCAGAAAATTTCAGCCCGCCCTCCCCGCCCCTGCTCACTCTTCACCCATCCCAAGTCTCGCGGTCAGGGGCTGCTGCTGGCGTGCTACAAGGAGAAAGAGGTCCGAACAGCATTGGAGCGTAGTTTTTGCAGCCCTTCTTAACCAGTCTGTCTGCTCCCGCTTCTGCCACGTTCGTTTGTGTCACTCTCGTCCCCCTCGTCTCTCCAGCCAGGAGCTGCTACTAGCGTGCTACAGGGAGAAAAAGGCGCAAGCAGCCGCAAGCAGGCACATTCCCTTCCCCTTCCCCTCTCTCACTCTCGGTTGTGCCCACCCCGACCCCTCATGTCTCTCCAGCCAGGAGCTGCTGCTCGCGTGCTACAGGGAGAAAGAGGCCCAAGCAGCGGCAGAGCGGGAGGCAGCAGCAGCAGCAGCCGCAGCATTGGCGGCATCAGTGGTGGCAATGCGGGGAGCAGCGCGGGGAGTGGCTGCCAGGGGCGTCTCTGTGAGGGGACCTCCTAGGAGAGGCGCTCTGCCCATGTCTACTCCCTCTTCTATTCCTGCTCCCGCCCGCCATCGTCACCAACAGCGGCAGAGCAGCAGCACCCAGCCTTCCTCCTCCCAGGTACGTGTCTTCGAACTTGGGTACTTTAGGGGGGGTGTGGCAGAAAAGGGGGGTGGCTGCCAGGGGCGTGGCTGTGAGAGGGGCTCCAAGGAGAGGCGCTCTGTCCATGTCTACTCCTCCTTCTGTTCCTGCTCCCTACCGCCATCGCGCACCAGCAGAGGCAGAGCAGCAGCAGAGAGAACAGCAGCAGCAGCACCCAGCCTATTTCCTCCCAGCCGTCCGCCCATTTTCTGGCACATCCCCGTACCCTGTATTCCTCTGGAGCAGGGAGAAGTGACAATTCAATGTTGACCCCCCTTTCTCCACTCGAACCCCCCCTTTCCCCTTCCCCACCCCCCGCCCCCCACGGTCTCGCAGTCACACTGCTCTACAGTCACGTCTGGCTCCCCTGTTGACCAATTGCTGCCCTACTCCCACCGCCAACCCTCCTCTGCCACTCATTTTTTAAGTGTGATTCGTTTTTCACCCATGTACGCTCACCCCGTCAGCCCCTTGCAGTAACACTCCTCTACAGTCACGTCCAGCTGTCGACCGGTGGCTGCCCTCCTCCCTCCTCTCCTCCCATCCCCTCGCACCAATGCTCCCTCTCCCATGTCCCCGCTGGCTCCCTTCCCCCCGTTCCCCCCCCCGCCCCCCTCCCTTGCAGTCTACAGTTACATCCAGCTCCCCTGTCGACTGGTGGCTGCCCTCCTCCCTGCTGTTGCCCGCCCCTGTGAATAAGTGTCTGTTCCCTCTTCCCCGCCTTGCAGTCTACAGCCACGTACGGCTCCCCTGTGGACTGGTGGCTGCCATCCTCCCTTCTGTCGCCCGGCCTAAAGTGCTTGTTCCCCCCTTCCCCCCCCCCTCCTCCTCCCTTGCAGTCCACAGCCACGTCCGGCTCCCCTGTCGACCGTTGGCTACCCTCCTCCCTCCTCTCCTCGCTCCGCCACTCCTCCTCCTCCTCCCCCTCCTCCTCTCGTGGGCTATCCGGTGCGTCCCCCCGTTCGTTCGCCCTTTCCTTCAGCCCACGCAGACACCGCTCCTCCCCTTCCTCCTCCTCCTCGAGTATTCCCACCGCCGCCACCACCACCACCACCACCACCATCGTCACCACCACCTCCTCCTCCCTTTCTTCGTCCCTCACCTCCGCTTCTTCTTCCTCCTCATCCTCCTCTGTGCCCGCCCCTTCAGCCTCGTCATCCTCCACTGCTGCCTCTCTTGCTGCTGCTGCCACAACGTCGGATGCCACCTCTGCTGCTGCTCCCTCGGCCTCCGCTGCTCCCTCTGCCTTTGCCTCTCCCTTTGCCTCTCCACCCATCTCATGCTATCGCCCCGACCCCTCAGTACTAGCGGCAGAAGCGGCCTGCTCCCCTCCCACCTTCTCCCTTTCCCCCCTACGCCCTCGCCCGCCCTCCTCCCTGTCCTTCTACCCCCCTGGGGCCTCGGCTCTGGGAGAAAACAACAGAGAGCTCAGCCTCTCAGCAGGTGCCATCCCCCTAGACGCCCCTCTAGGCGCTACTGTCAGCTGGAACGGAGCTCTCCCTACATCCTCTGCTTCTGCCTTCGCATCCACCCCTGCTGCAGCTGTAGCCCATATGACCTCTTTATCAGAGAACCCGTCTCCTGTTATGTCCCCAGTAAGCGCGTCCCTCTCGTGCCTCCTGGCACGGCAGCAGGAGCAGCAGAGACAATTGCTAGAGCAGCACCGGCAGCAGCAGCAGCTGCAGCAGCAGCAAGGAGGCGCTACAGATGCTGCTGCTGCTCCTGGCGCTGCTGCTGCTGATGCAGTTACCGCTGCAGGTGCTGCTGCCAATAGCCCTGCTGCGTCTGCTGCATCTGCTGATGCTGCTGCTGCCATTGGCGGCAGCGCTACTGCTGCTTCATCAAATGGCAGCCTCGGACTAACTTCCCGACCCTGCTCTAGGTTCGGCGGCCTAGGGCAGGAAGGGCTCAAGCTTGTGCTTGCAGCTTCGGAAGGGCAGGGGAGGGCGCATGGGATGGCTGGTGCGATTGTAACAGGAGTTGGTGGTGAGAGTGCGAGGGTTGCAGCTCTGGCGCCTCCTTTCATTGGGGAAGCTGATGCTACAACCAGTGCTACAGCCCCTGCCACAGTTGCTGCCACATCTGGTTGTAGCAGCAGCAGCACTCTTGGGACCATTGCGGCTCCTCAGGCACCTCCTCCTTTCATTGGGGAAGCTGATGCTACAGCCATTGCTACAGCTGCTGTCACGTGTGGTGACAGTGGCGCCACTATCTGTACCACTGCTGCTGCTGCTCAGGCACCTCCTTTTATTGGGCAAGGTGCAGCTATTGCTGATGCCACGTGTGGTGGCAGTAGCAGCATTATTGCTGCTGGGTCGGCACCACCATTTATTGGGAAAGATGCTGCTACAACCCCTGCTACAACTGCTGCTACAGCCCCTGCTAGATCCCCTGCCACGTCTGCTGCTTACTCTGGTGGTAGTACCACCGCTACTGGAACCACTGCTGCTGGGCTGGCTCCCCCTTTCATCGGGGAATCTGCTGCTACAACCGGTGCTACAGCTGATGCCCCATGTGGTGGTAGTGGCACCACTATTGGACCCACTGCTGCTGCTGTCGCACCTCCTTTTATCGGCGCAGTTTCTGCTACAGCCCCCGCTACAGCCTCTGCTATAGCCTCTGCTACAGCCCCTTCTATGGCCCCTGCTACAGCCGCCGCTACAACTGCTGTGACATCTGGTGGTAGTAGCACGAGTGTGGGGGCCAGTGCTGCTGTTGCGCCTCCTCTTATCGGGGACAGCAGCGGGATGTCTGCTACAAGCAGCAGCAGAAGTGGTGCCGTCGTTGCGGGCACAGCTGGTCAGGAGAGTAGCATGGCAGACGGCGGTCCGGTTAGGTATGTATGTATGTGGCAGGCGGTGGGCAGGAGAGTAGCATGGCGGATGACGGTCCCTTGAGGTACTTATGTATGTGGCAGGCAGGCGGTGGTGCACTGGTGGTCATCAAGAGAATTCTGCTGTGCCGTCTGGTGCTAGCAGCAGGGGAAGTGGTTCTGGTACAGCTGTTGGGCGGGAGAATGGCATGGCAGGCAGCAGATGACGGTCCCGTTAGGTATGTATGTATGCGGCACGTGCTGGTGCTGCTCATTTCAAGTATCCTCCTCGTATCGGGCACTAGCAGCGGCAGGAGTGGTGGAGTTGGTGCGGGGGGCAGGAGAATACTAGTGTGTGTGGCAGATGACGGTCATTTCAGGTACGTACGTGGCAGGTGGCGGTGGTCATTAAGGGTGTGATGCTGGTATCTGGTACTAGCAGCAGCAGAAGTGGTGGGGTCGTTATTGTGGGCACAGCTGTTGGGCAGGAGAGCAGCATGGCAGATGACGGTCCCGTAAGGTACGGATGTATGTGTGTGGCAAGTGGTGCTTGGTTGAAGTCTTTTGCTGCTGGCATGCTGAGCACAAGGTCGTGAAGTCGTTTGGGTTGAAACAGCGTTGGCTTTTGATTGCTTTTGAGGCGCCTCAAAAGCAGTCGACTGGGTGTGGTGGGAGGAGAGAGAGGGATGAGGCTGAGGGGGCATGACTCAGAGGGATAAGGAAGGAGGGGGAAAGCTTGGGGGGAAGAGTGGAAGGAGAGGCGGGTAGCAGTGTGTTCGTGATTTCGGTTCCGATTTCGTTTTCGTTTTCGTTTTGAGACGTCTCAAAACGAAGTTATTGGCATGCAAAAGAGTGGGAGCTGAATCTGGGTGGGGTGAGGGAGGAAATGGGTGGGGAAAGAGAGTAAAGGTTTTAGGCCGATTGGTTCGTTTTGGTTGAGAGCAGGGAGCCTCCATCCTCCTGTCACGTCAAGGAATCTCTCTTCCGCCCTTCTCCCTGCCTTCTCCTCTCCCCCCCCTCGCTGCTCCATGGAAGATCGCGCTCCTGCCTTCCCCCCGGGCCAGCCACAGCCACTCCATCTTCTCTCTCTAGCTAGCCCCCTCCCCTCCTGTCTCCTCTGCCCTCCCGTCTCCTCTTCCCTCCCTCGCAGCTCCATGGACGAGTGCACTCCCCTTTTCCCCCGCGGCTGCCATGGCCACGGCCACTCCAACCTCGCCTCACATCGTAGAATCCTTCTGCCGCTCCCTTCCTCTCTCTCCTTCCCCCCCCCACAACCCCATCCCCCCTCGCAGCTCCATGGAAGAGCGCACTCCTCCCTTCCCCCGGGGCTGCCACGGCCACTCCATCTTCTCGTCCTTCAAGTCCCGCCTGGCGTCTCGGTATGTCCGCCTTTCCCATCATCGCCTCTCCGTCCTCCTATCTTCTCCCTCCGCCTATCTCTCCCTCCTCCCCACTCCATCTGGTGGCCCCTCAACTCCCGCCTTTTCTCATGGTACCCCCTTGTAGCCCGTTTCCTTTTTCTTCCTAGTCCATCTGCTACCTCCCTCCCTCCCCACTCTGACTTCTCCTCTCTCAAGGCCTGCCTGGCCTCGCAATGCATCTCCTTCCTTCTTTTTCACCCCGCCAGCTCCCCTTCTTCGCCTTCCTGCCTATCTTCCCTCTCTCCCCACTCCATCGTCTCCTCTCTCAAGTCCCGCCTTTCCTCTGGGTGTCCCCTTCCCGCCTGTCTCCCTTTTCTTCCTAGTCTTGCTGCTACCTCCCTCCCTCCCCTCCATCTTCTCGTCCCTCAATTCCCGCCTTTTCTCTCGGGTCGCTCTCTTTCTTTCCACCCAGCTCCCCTTTTCCCCGTCCTGCCTATCTTCCGTCCCTCCCCACTCCATCGCCTCCTCCCTCAAGGCCGCCTGGCCTCTCGGCAGGCCTCCTTCCCATCTGTTCCGCGTGTGCTCGTTTCCCTCCCAACCCATTCTGTGATTTCATCAGCCACTGTGCACCTTCTGTCCCCCCTTGCCCTCTCTCCTATTTCCTCCCTTCTCCCGTTTCCCTTCGCCCTTCTCCCTTTTCCTGTTTCCCTTCTCCTTTCCGCTCGCCCCCCTCCAATCCAGGTGGTCAAAGGGCTCTTCCTCTTCCTCGCTATCTGCACCTGCACCCGCCACAGTGCACCATCGCAGCTAGAAGCTGATCACATATCTCTCTGGCAAGGCTCCTTATCTTCTTCCTCTCACGCCACTTCCTCCTCTTCCTCTTCTTCCTCCTCCTCCTCTTCCTCACTGTCTCCACCTGCACCCGCCACAGTACACCGTTGAAGCTAGAAGCCCATCATTCATCTCTCTCATAGCTGGTGGTCACAGGGCGCTTATCTCCGTCCTCCTCCTCCTCCTCCTCGTTCCCCTCCCCTTCCTCCTCTTCCTCCTCTTCCTCCACTTCCTCCTTGTCCTCCGTGCTCTCCCCCTCCTCCTCATCCTCCGCACTGCCTGCATCAACGCCTGTCACAATGCACCACCGAAGCTGACCACCCTGCCTCCTCTCCTCTCCCTCTAGCCCCTCGCGCACAGCTTTTGCTGCGACAGGGGAAAACTTTCCACAAATAAACCTGTGCTGGCGAGCATGCAGGCATTCAAGGCACTGGGTATGATTCTAGGAGCTGGTGTGAAGACCTGTAGGAATGTCGGTATGCCTGTGAGGCAGGTCAACAGCAGATGCCATGCTAATGTGGCTCGTGTTGGGATAGGAGGCCCATCATGGCTCGTGTTGGGATGGGAGGCCCATCATGGCTCGTGTTGGGATGGGAGGCCCATCAAGGCTCGTGTTGGGATGGGAGGCCCATCAAGGCTCGTGTTGGGATGGGAGGCCCATCAAGGCTCGTGTTGGGATGGGAGGCCCATCATGGCTCGTGTTGGGATGGGAGGCCCATCAAGGCTCGTGTTGGGATGGGAGGCCCATCATGGCTCGTGTTGGGATGGGAGGCCCATCATGGCTCGTGTTGGGATGGGAGGCCCATCATGGCTCGTGTTGGGATGAGAGGCCCATCATGGCGCCTCCATGGACATGCTATGTGAACTCCGTAGGTGTGTGAATGGCCGTCCCAGAGGGGCCAAGGGGTTGAGAGCAGCAGCCATGCGACAAGTCGTATCAGGGGAGTCAGGAGGGGGAGAGGAGTGTAAATGGCCAAGTCAGAGAGGTGCAAGCTAGGCGGGTTCACCTGACCTCGTGAAGTCCGGCGGTGAAACGGTGAGGGTGAAGCAGCAGCATCGCGAGGAGCATGAAATGGTGTGTAGGTGACATTGGAATGCCTGAGGGGGGGCCTACGGGTGAATGGCTGCATCAGGGGAGGTCATGCAAGGGGGGGTCGAGGAAGGGGGGTTGACGTCACCTTGTGAACCGGCAGCTGGAGGCCTCTAGGCGGCAGCGTTGACGGAGAAGGACGGGTGAATGGCTGTCTAAGTGAACGGCAAGCTGGGGGTCAAGTGAGGGAGGCTCATGAATCACGTCACCTCGTGAACTGGCAGCTGCAGGCGTTTGGGCGGCAGCAGCATTGAAGGGCAACCCAGTGAGGGTGCATGAAGGGGAAGAGGGTGGGAGAGGGTGGGAGAGGGTGGGAGAGGGTGGGAGAGGTGGAGGCAGAGGCAAACAGGGCAGTGTAGCGGAGTGGCTGGAGATCGAACCAAACCCAGGCCATGGAATGGTGGCTGGTTGTGTATCTGCTTTGCTGATGGGGATTGTTTACTGGCACTGGGATACGGAATAGGATTGGCACTGCTGTTTTCTGCTTGTGTTACACACGGTACGGTGCTATGCTTTAGTGTCAAACATCTGCATTTGTCATGTTTGTATAGACTGTATAGGGTTACCTCTTAGAGGGTACAACACTTAGGTATACTTGTGTGTACTCTCACTTTACAATCATTCAATACTCATTTCTGATATGGTATCACGCGTAGGTAGGATCCCCCCCACCTACCGCTTCCGCTCAGGCCCCCTAGCGCCCCTCCCAGGCCCCGTCGCGCTCCTCCCAGGCCCCCTAGCGCCCCTCCTGGGCCCCGTCGCGCTCCTCCCAGGCACCGTAGCGCCCCGTCGCGCCCCTCCTGGGCCCCGTAGCGCCCCTCCTGGGCCTCGTCGCGCCCCTCCTGGGCTTCGTAGCGCCCCTCCTGGGCCCTGTAACGCCCCTCCCAGGCCCCGTCGCGCCCCTCCCAGGCCCCGTCGCGCTCCTCCCAGGCCCCCTAGCGCCCCTCCTGGGCCCCGTCGCGCTCCTCCCAGGCCCCGTAGCGCCCCGTCGCGCCCCTCCTGGGCCCCGTAGCGCCCCTCCTGGGCCTCGTCGCGCCCCTCCTGGGCTTCGTAGCGCCCCTCCTGGGCCCTGTAACGCCCCTCCCAGGCCCCGTCGCGCCCCTCCCAGGCCCCGTCGCGCTCCTCCCAGGCCCCCTAGCGCCCCTCCTGGGCCCCGTCGCGCTCCTCCCAGGCCCCGTAGCGCCCCGTCGCGCCCCTCCTGGGCCCCGTAGCGCCCCTCCTGGGCCTCGTCGCGCCCCTCCTGGGCTTCGTAGCGCCCTTCCTGGGCCCTGTAACGCCCCTCCCAGGCCCCGTCGCGCCCCTCCCAGGCCCCGTCGCGCTCCTCCCAGGCCCCCTAGCGCCCCTCCTGGGCCCCGTCGCGCTCCTCCCAGGCCCCGTAGCGCCCCGTCGCGCTCCTCCCAGGCCCCCTAGCGCCCCTCCTGGGCCGCGCCGCGCTCCGCCCAGGCCCTGTAGCGCCCCTCCTGGGCTCTGTCGCGCCCCTCCTGGGCCCCGTCGCACCCTGCCCGACCCCGTCGCAGCCGCCAGGCCCCGTCGCGCCCGCCCGGCGCCGTCCCAGCCGCCCGGCCCTGTCGCGCCCGCCCGGCGCCGTCACGCCCGCCCGGCCCCGTCGCAGCCGCCTGGCCCCGTCACCCTTGCCCGGCCCCGTCGCAGCCGCCCGGCCCCGTCGCAGCCGCCCGGTCGCCGTCCCGCTCGCCCGGCCCCGTCGCACCGGCCCGGCTCTGCCGCACTCGCCCGGCCCCGTCGCCCCAGCCCGGCCCCGTCGCGCCCGCTCGGCCCCGTCGCCCCGTCCCGGCCCTGTCGCACCAGCCCGGCCCCGTCGCGCCCGCCCGGCCCCGTTGGGCCAGCCCCGGCCCCGTCCTCCTCACTGGTACGGTTCCCCCCCCACCCCGCCCTGCTCCGTGCCGCCCCGCACCATACTGTACTGCCTGGCACCGCACTACACCGCACTACACTGCACTGCACCGCACTGCACCGCACTGTACCGCACTGCACCGCACTGCACCTCACTGCACCGCACTGTACCGCACTGCACCGCACTGCACCGCACTGCACCGCACTGCACTGCCCTGCACTGCACTGGACTGTTCCTAATGGCGGCGGAGCTTCGCTTCGACGCTGAAGGCCAGCCCCTAGAGTTCGAGGTGTGGCTTGCTGACCTCCGCCGTCAACTCACTGGCCAGCGGCAGGATGGTGAACCGCTTTCCGCACACCTTGACGGTACGCTCCCCTGCCCAGACTGTGAGAGTACGACCCCGTTACACCACTTGGCCTTTTCTTATTTCCTTCCCTTTTCATTTCTCTTTTTACCGCATCTCATTTGGTTTCCTATTCTTCCTTTTCCATTAACCTTTGGTTTATCCTGCTATTATCATTATATCACCGACCAGGCTTGGGATGTATTGGTGCGCTCTATCTAGCGTAATCCTGCTGTAATCCCTTAAAGCCAATAGCCTCGCGTGGCTATACGCAGGGTGATTCTATCTTCTAGAAGGGTCTATTCCCTTAGGATAAGATAAACCTGGTTACCTGATGTACTCTGGAAGTATAAAAGTGCCTTGTACTGATCGATAGTGCAACCTTTCCTCGACACATTCGATCCTGTGACACTTGGTAATCAGAGCTTTTCTCACTCGGCCGCGCTCAGCTAAGCAGCAGCAGCGGGGATCCTGCCTCGAAAAACCGCCGGGGGCGACCAATTCGACGCCGATTCTGGTAAGCACCAGCTCCGCGATTTTCGAATTACCCCCTCCGTGCGTGTTTTGAACAGGATGGCAACCTTCGACAACGCCGAGGTTACCCAGCAGCTCTTCGCGCGCATCGCAGCCCTTCAGGAGGAAATGCGAGCAGATCGCGAAGCGTGGCGAAACCAGTTCGAGCGAGTAACTCGACTCGCCGGAGCGCAGCACGAGACGACAACGGCGACGACGCAGCAGTCGCAGCAGTTTCTCGAGGCTCCGAAACCGCGCCCACCTGAGCCGTTCGATCCGAGCGATCGAAACTCCGACGCCCGCAGATGGATCGCCGGGATGGAGATCTACTTCGCAGCCGTCGGATGGAGCTCGCCAGTCTGGGACGGTCAACGTGTACGACTCGCGGCGACACTGATGCGAGGGCCGGCACTCGAGTGGATTGGCGGCAACAGCACCTTCATCCACGGTGAAGCCACGTGGCAGCAGTTCCGCGCCGACCTGCTGAAACGATTCGAGCCGATAAATTCAGGTTTCCTTGCCCGCGAAAAAATTCATCGCCATCGACAGTTTGGGAGTGTAGCACAGTACACGCAGCAGATGGAAGAATTTTATAACAGAATTCCCGACCTGACCGAAGGGGAAAAAGTGCAATCGTACCTCGCAGGGCTGAAGACTGAAGTCAAACGACAGGTGGCAGTGTCAAACTACGCGAGCTACAGTGACGTCGTTTCGGCCGCGGAGCGCTTCGACATGGTCAACGCCGGAACACGACGGACGCACGTCGGCAGTACGCGACAGGGCGACCGCTCGGCTCACACCACGTTCGCCGACCCGATGGAAGTCGACAGATTCGAGGGGCGGCCACGTCCGAAAAACAACAACTACACGTGTGATTTTTGCGGGGTGCCGGACCACCGAATCTTCGACTGCAACAAAATGAAGGCCGCACGCGCAGAGTATCGGGCACGCAACAGTGGCGGAAATCTTTCGGCCAATCAGAAGACAAAAAACGGGAGTCGCCAGTGATTGCGGATCTAGCTGGCGAAAATAAAAAGATCCGAAAACGGCCGCGGGATTCCGAAAAAATCGACTTCGGCGAAGCGGATTCGACGCGAGAAGGAGGAAATGATGGGGGAAAATCTCCACCCCACAACCAGTCTTCGCCAGGGAAAATCGCCGAGGAAAAATACGACTCCGCGAAAAAAGACTCTGCCGAGACAAGGAAACTCCTTGAAGACCCAAGAAATTATAAGAATTCATTAAAGTTATCTTATAAAGATGCTTTAATGAAAACTTATGATGTTCGAGGAGCTAGAGCCTTGGAGAAATTTCGGGAGGGACTCCAAAAGAAGCAGAAAGCTGTGGAGACCATACCGGTACCGGACAACTTGGGGACCAAATTAAGGAGTGTGGAAAGAAGCCGACCTTTCCACGAAGTCAACGTCCTCTCCCGACACCAGCCCACAACGACTACCCGCTCCCCAGGGAAGACGTCGGTGGAGCTGAAGCAGCTCAAGAGGAAGCTGGGGGTCTACAAGAAGCTTCACAAACCCCGAACTCCTCCTACGGATGCATCCAGTTCTTCGGCATCAGTGACGCGCACAGTCGTCAAGGAAACTCCGGGCCCTGGAGAAGAGCCGTTCTCCAAGCAGCCTCGGCCAGCTGCCAGCTCAGGAGTAGACAGCAACACCAAGGTGTGTACGGAATATTGGGATGTACCCTATGACCCAATCAATGAAACTATCTTTGGGTACTCCGAGCAACGACTGCCCCTCGTGCTCGAGGTCATCTGCAAAGGACGACGCCTCCAAGCACTCGTGGACAGCGGAGCGTCACACACCGTCTGCGACAAGGCAATGATCGACCGACTCCGGGAAGAGTACAAGCCTTCAGGATTCTCTGCAACGATGGTGGACGGCAGCAAGTTACCAGTACACGGCGAAGCAGTGCTACATCTACAAATTGGACCACTGCGCTGGAGACCTGCACTCCCCATCACCAACATCAAAGGGCTTGACTTGATCTTCGGGCGAGACTTCCTGAAAAGATTCAACCCCGAGATCAACTGGGTGAACCGCACCGCAAGCATCTACAACAATGGACGGAGAGTACAGCTACACAACTGGGACGACACTGGAGATATCCCAGTGGAGACACTCGCACGATTCGAGAAGGACGTGAAGCGGACCGACACCGGGTTCCTGGCGATAGCAACAGAGGTGGAGAATGACGGAGAGAAAGCCTCGGAAACTCCAGAAAAAATCAAGGAATTACTGAAGGAGTTCCAAGACATTCTTCCTGACGATCTTCCGAACGAGCTACCGCCATACCGAACGCATCAACACGAGATCGTGGAGGAACCGGGTTCGAAGCCGACCTTCCGAGCACCATATCGACTCAGCCCTACGGAGCTGACCGACATGAAGAAGCAGATCGAGTATCTCCTAGCTAAAGGACTCATCCGACCATCCACTTCGCCGTACGGTGCCCCAGTACTCTTCACACCGAAACCGGACGGAAGCCTGCGCATGTGCATCGACTACCGAGCTCTTAACAAGCAGACCATCAAGAATAAATATCCGATACCGCGAATCGATGACCTGCTTGACCAGCTTCGGGGAGCTACGGTATTTTCCAAACTGGATCTGCGGTCCGGATACTGGCAGATACGCATGGCGGACAACTCTATCCACAAAACTGCTTTCCGAACTCGGTACGGATCGTACGAGTATTTGGTCATGCCGTTCGGACTCACCAACGCGCCGGCAACGTTCCAAGCCGAAATGAACCACATTCTACGACCACTTCTGGACGAATGCGTGGTGGTGTACCTGGATGACATACTCATCTACTCGCGCGACATGAAGCAGCACGTCGAACACCTGCGACGCGTCTTCGAAATTCTTCGACGGGAACGATTCTACGTCAAACTGTCCAAGAGCGAATTCGCCCT